GGGCTGCGGGCTGATCAGGGTGGTGGAGGCCCATCAGGGGCAGGGCTTAATGGGGGGAGGGGCCATGGGAGGTTGGCCAGTGGGCCCCACCCTCATCTGCCAGTTCGCTGGCTGCAGTGGGCATGATAGCAACCAGTGGGAGTCATAGCGACCAGTAGTTCCAGTCGTCATAGCATTCAGGTCCTGGCTTTTTATATATATACTAGAGGCCCGGTGCACAAAAATTTGTGCACTCGGGGGGGAGGGGAGTCCCTCAGCCCGGTCTGTGCCCTCTTGCAGTCTGGGACCCCTCAGGAGATAACGCCCTGCTGGCTTAGGCGTCCTCCTGGTGGCAGAGGACAGGCCCAATCCCTAGGTGCAGCCCCTGGTCGGGCTCAGAGCAGGGCCGATTGGGGAGTTGGGGTGCCGCCCCCTGTCATACACAGAGCAGGGCGATCGGGAGGTTGTGATTCCACCCTCAGTCACGCTCAGGGTAGGGCCGATTGGAGGGTTGGGGCCCCATCCCGTCACACTCAAGGCAGGGTCGATGGGGAGGTTGCGGCGCCACCCCGTCATGCACAGAGCAGGGCCCATCAGGGGGTTGGGGCGCCGCACCCTGTCACACACACAGAGCGGCAGGGCGATCAGGAGGTTTGGGCGCTGCCCCGTCACGCTGATCCCGGTGCCGGGAGGCCTCGCGGCTCCGCTGATCCTGGTGCTGGGAGGCATATTACCCTTTTACTATATAGGGTAGAGGCCTGGTGCATGGGTGGGTGTCGGCTGGTTTGCCCTGAAGGGTGTCCTGGATCAGGGTGGGGGTCCCCACTGGGGTGCCTGGCCAGTCTGGGTGAGGAGTTGAGGGCTGTTTTCAGGCTGGGGGTGACTGAAGCTCCCAACCCCTCCTTTTTTTCTTTTTTTTTTTCTGGGCCAGCTTTAGCTTTGAGGCTTGGCTCCCGCTCTTAGGGCTCTGCTGCTGAAAGTAGGTTTCTGGCCTTTGCTTACAATGTTGCGATCCTGCTGGCTGAAGCTGGGCAGGTTTCTGGGGTTTTGTTTAGCTTCTATGTTTGTTACATAGTTGCTTGCAGCTCAGAGGCCTGCAGCGGCAGGAGGGGAACGTTGGAGTCCTCCGTCACTGAAGCAAGCAAGTCTCAGGTTAGTTTCAAGCTGCCTGGCTGCCGGCCGCCATCTTGGCTGGCAGTTAATTTGCATATCGCCCTGATTAGCCAATGGGAAGGGTAGCGGTCGTATGCCAATTACCATGTTTCTCTTTTATTAGATAGGATAGAAACTGTCTTCATAGGGACTTTCAGAAGACAGGTACAAGCTTGCAAACTGGTACACATTTTCTGGAGAATAATTTTAGAATATATCAGTAGTTGTAAAATGCATTCATATAATCTGGCCAGTAACTACACTTTTATACCTTAAGCGAGTAACTTGTACAATATGCTCATTACTGTACTATGGATATGAAGAAATTGAAATGACTGGAAAGATCAATATTTAAGAGATGGTGTATCTCAGGGCTGACAAACTCTCTCAGTAAAGGACCAGACAGTAAGTATTTTAGGCTTTGAGGCCTATATATGGTTGCTGTCATGTATACCTTTCTCCTTACAATCCTTTAAAAATGTGAGGACCACTCTGTGCAGCTGAGTGCTGGATTTGGCCCCCAAGCTGTGGTTTGCCACCCCTGATTTCTATCTCAACCAATAGATTCAACAGCAGACATGAAGGGCCATTAAAAATCAAAATTCTAAATATTTAATAAAGTAGGGACATGCTCATGATACTAAAAATAGAATACAAAGATATATGCAAGATAATTTTTATTTAGAAATATATAAGCACACACATTTTAAAAAAAGATTGCAAGAACCAGCATTAAACTGTTAGCACTGGCTTCTGTGGTGGCAGAATCATAGGCGATTTCATTGTAATATGGGCTTTAGTTTCCCAACTTTCCATTATGAGTGGATATGACTTCGACCTCTGATTCCTCGATCTGCTATCTTTTCAGTGTCCCTCACCCTCCTTATCAGGTTAAACCGCTCACTCCTTCACTCTCCTCTGCTCCAGCCACACTGGCTGGGCTGCTGGGCACACTCTCCCACCAAGCTCCTGCCCAGGCTCTGTCCATGACCTGGCCTCCCTGTCCCATGCTTACCCCCAAATACCACAGGCCCACTCCCTGCGTCACTCGGGCCTCTTCAGAAAACAGGCCTTTCTCGCACCTTCCCCAACAGCGTTTTCGGTCACTTGCTGTCCCGTTACCCAGTGTTGCCTTCCTTCAGCCTTTAGCACCGACACAGTTCTATTGATGTGGGTACTCTATCTCCCCAACAAAACATACATTTGATGGCATGAGGTGTTTTACTTGATACCAAATCCTTTACATCTGAAACAGTGCCTGGCATGTGGTGAAGGTAAAGTGGCTGCTGAATTAATAACACAATCAATTCAATATAAGACCACCATTTGAAAAGAAAGAGGAAATCTGCCTCAGTACAGGTTAGCCTGTTAACACCTAACTTGAAACATAATTCCTTCACAAATCCATCTCTGCAGCAGGCAACATATCCAACTCAAACACCAGCCCTCCCCGTTCCGGCCGTTCTCAATGTCCCCATACTCACAGCATCCGCAGATGGTAGAAGGAAGTGTCACTCTGGTCGAGCCACGGCCCCTTGTCAAACTTGAGATATTCGATGTCCTCCACCACCTGGACAGTGGGAATTCCAATTTTAATGGAAAGTCTCATTTTAAATGACACGATATTTTAATAACCATAAACTACAAATATCTGGCAGGAAGAATCACACTATAAAAGTGAAAAAGGAAGGAAGTCCAAACAGATGGCCTTCAGTGAAGAGGGGGACTGAGTGATGATCCCTCAATGTGGGCGTCTTGCCCAGTTAACACAGGAGACATTACCTGACAGTCTGGGAGAAAAGGGGCAGGTAAGAGTCAGACTAGGGAGGAGACCTGAGTTTGTGATAGACACTCATTTCCTCCAAGCAACTTCATTCCAGGAATAACAGAATAATAATAAAGTAAATGCGTTCCTTTGGGAAGTTCCATGACCCATGTTCTCAGCCCAAAGCCTGCGGCCAGGACAGCCTGGCCTCCCAGAGGAGCACCTTTAGGATGCACTCTCTCCCGAAACACACCCAACTGGGAGAAGTCATCTAAGTTTCAAGAATTTTGATGTATTCAATAAGAACTCAAGTAATGACAGTCTTAGAGCTAAAATGCATCACTCTTCTTAAACACATGCCATCTATTCTCTAAAAGATTTCACAATAACCTAAAACAAGTCAGCACTACAAACACAGAAGGCTGGGAAGGAATGAAATGTGGCTGAATCAGTGGAAGAGCAAAATAAATCAAACCTAAAAGGAACTCTGAAGCCGGCCCAGAGCCAGCTGAACGCAAGCCTCCCATAGGAGAGCCCTGCTCTCTCTCCTCCAAGCCAGGAGGCAGCTCAGGGTGTTTCATAGGGAAGCAGGCAGCTCTATGATCCTTCTGCTATGTCACGACCTGCAGCTCAACCCCAGATCACAAATGTTTTTTCTTCTAAAATTCTTATTTTTTTAAGTAATTTATGCTTTTTTTTAATGTTCTTATTGATTTTTTTTAGAGAGGGAAAAAGGGAGAGGGTTAGAGAGACAGAAGCATTAATGATGAGAAACATCATCAATCGGCTGCCTCCTGCACACCCCTACCAGGGATCAAGCCCATAACCCAGGCATGTGCCCTGACCAGAAATTGAACTGGTGACTTCTTGGTTCCTGAGCCACACTGGCTGGGCTGTGCTTAATATATAAGACGTGAGATAGTACTTTTCTTTTTTAGCAAATGAATGGTCAACTGCCTCAATACCTTTCAAGAAATAAGCTGTTTTCCTATACTTTCTTATTAGTCTTTAAAATACTGTCTTTACCAAATCAAGTCTCACACATGTGCAGGTGCACACACACACACAAGCACACACACACATGTGAGCACGCACGTGCACCTGTTTCTGGACTCTGTACTGTTCCATTCATCTATTCATTTATTCTAGTATTACTACCACAGCACTTTCATTGCCACAATTTTATAATATGCTTTTGTATTTTGGAAGGCAAATGTTCTTATATTACTTTTTTTCAAAATTTTTTGGCTATTACTCATTAATTATACCGAGATTCACTTGAATTTTTACAAAATGCACCTGCTGATTTGGGGGAAGCTGGTATCTTGACATACTAAATCTTCCTTGTTAACTAAGTCAAGTTTCAGTGTTACCTTCTGTATCATACATTCTGAAACAGGTAACTCGCGGTTCTTTGTATCCACCACTACATCATTTTAAGATCACAGAAGCAGAATTATTTATAAGAAAATAATGTGCAGAGAGTGTGATGAGTGTGGAACTTCCCTTTGATTGTAAAATACAGCTGTTTCCCAGACCATTGGGAACTGAACGGATAATCTGATTCGCAAGGAGCTTATACATGAATTGGATTTAATAATCACAAACTTTTCAGTCATTTTCTTACCTTTTCTGCATCTTGAGCTTCCTTTACACTATACTGTAAAACTTCACATTTTTCACTGTAGATAAAGAGGAAAGTCAGTGTAAATTTTCCAAGCTTTCATTACTGTACAAACGAGCACTTAACCTTGAAGTTGCCACTACAAACAGGCACAGGTCACATTCTTGAACTGGGTGCTGGGCTGGGCCTGCACTGGCTTCCATGGCCTGACTAGGTCAGGAGGACAAGTTACAAGTATGAATGTGCCCATGACGGACAGTGACAACAGCAGGTCTGCTCCTGCCTTCCCTGCTGCTTCCACCCCACACACGTGAGAAACCAGAGCCACCTGTGTCTACAGAAGGCAGGGCACACAAGTCACCTGCACTGCTATGCAGACTGTCTCCAGAGGCTGCACTCATTAAAAAAAAGTACAAAGGAGGCCAGGGACGCAGTGAGACATGTGCACTGACAGCAGCCCAGTGGTCATGGTGGACACACACATAGATTACCTGAGCTGCTAGAATCTAGAATTTCAGAGGCAAATGAACCATCAAAATAAGCTCTTTCAATCAAACTATGCAACAGGACAGCACTCCCTTCCCTTTGTCCTTGGCACTGAAAATCCATCTTTGGATCCCAGAGAAAAGGGGACAACAGAGTGCCATTTACTCTGCCACTTCCTCTCAACACGGCCGTTAGAGACCTGCTCACCCAGCAGGAGATGACTGAAAGCTGAAGGCTGGTAAGACTATATCTTACCAGCCGAATCCGGTTTGGCTCAGTGGATAGAGCGTCGGCCTGCGGACTGAAAGGTCCCGGGTTTGATTCCGGTCAAGGGCATGTACCTGGGTTGCGGGCACATCCCCAGTGGGAGATGTGCAGGAGGCAGCTGATCGATGTATCTCTCTCATCGATGTTTCTAACTCCCTATCTCTCTCCTTTCCTCTCTGTAAAAAATCAATAAAATATATTTAAAAAAAAAAAAAGACTATACCTTACCAGTGAAGGAGGCTGCCTGCTTCCATCTCCAGACCAACTAGACAGAAACTCTAGGCCACACCTGGCCAGAGGCCAGCAAGGCCGCCCATTAGAGCCCACTCTTGAAGGGGACAGCAGAATGCCGAAGGTGGACTATGCTTCCCACAGATTGTCCACACAACAGACACAGGGACATTTTCTCATTTAGGTGTCCCTACATCAGCGCACCGTCCTATTCATGGGATGTAACCTATAGAATAAATACCTTAAGAATTCACAAGCTGAAATCCACGAGACCCACTACTATGGTGCCAAACATCACCACCTCTCAGACCATGGTCAACAGGCTACTGTTTCATCCACAGTTTTACTTCTGTGGTGTAAGAACTAGCTGTAGGCATACGTGTGTGTGTGTGTGTGTGTGTGTGTGTGTCTGTGTGTAAACCAACTTTTCCAGATGAACACCACACTATACCAGATTTTACAATGTTGCTCATGCTCCCTCCTGTCCACACTTGCCTCCTGCATGCATTTCTCACTCCTGACCTTGTTGTTTGAACAGGCAGTCTACACATGGATGAAGTTGATTCCACCCAGCAGCTCGTGGTATATGGATTTACAGGAGCCACTTAACCCAAACACTGATTAGATTCCATTTAAAGTATCCACAGACACAGCTTATGTTCACGCCTGTCTGTACCAGTTCCCTGAGCACGACCAAGCAACCCTTCTAGGTCAGTGTGAATGTGTAGTTGCCACCTAAAGCAAAAATATGTGAAGTTTTCTCATGCTGAAACCCATGATGAAATAGAGCTTCAGTTTACTTAAAGCATAAAAAATTTTAAAACTGTAAGACAAGAAATGTTTTGACAAAATAAGCAAACCAAAAAAACCAACCAAAAACCCTGCCAAATCACACAGGAAAGTATGCTATCGTTCTTGCTTAACAGCAGATTAAACACTCAGACAACATCCTTGCACACAGAGAGCTCCTTGGGCGGCGGAGCGTCAGGACCTGTGTGTGAAAGACTGTGCTCTCGTAGTCATGCCCTTGGCTCACCTCATTTCAGGAAGGAAGGTCTTCTTATAGGCGTTCTCGATGTCCTGAAGATAGGCAGAAGTGATCTTCATCTCATGTGGCTAAACAAACAGAAGTACAGGTGTGAAGGCTCAGCCTTCTCTGCTTTTACCTGTGCGTGTATGAACTGTGGACACCATCAGTGGACAGTGTTTTCTTAGAACTCATGCTGGGCGCTGCAGGGACTCTGGGTGATAGGAAGCGGCCTTGGGACGACTTAGGATTACTCTCATCTTCATCTCAGTGTCAAAAAGAAGGTCCTGCCCTGGCTGGTTTGGCTCAGTGGATAGAGCGTCGGCCTGCAGACTGAAGGGTCCCGAGTTCGGTTCCAGTCATGGGCACATGCCCGGGTTGTGGGCTCGATCCCCAGTAGGAGATGTGCAGGAGGCAGCCAATCAATGATTCTCTCTCATCATTGATGTTTCTATCTCTCTCTCCCTCTCTCTTCCTCTCTGAAATCAATAAAAATACATTTTTTAAAAAAAAAACAATGTCCTTCTTCCCCAGGAAAATGTTCCCTGTGGGAGTGACATTTCCAAACAGGAAGCAGTCCCAGGGCAAGTGGTCCTTATCAGTTACCCTTGTCCCCATTATGCTGCAGAGCCAGCGCCTCTAACCCAGTCCCAACCAAGGCCACAGAGAGTAAACGGATATGTGTGAGATGACTGTTCTACTCTTCAGTAGGCAGGAAAAGAGTTAAACAGACAGTAGTGGGATTCAGAAATCAGTTTTGATTCATAGGAAAATAAGAGGCATGAAATCCCCATTAGAGAGCAAAAGGTACAGGGCCAAGGGAAGTCCTGTTAGCACACCTGTCTTACAGAATGGTTTAGAACAGTGGTCGCCAACCTTTTGGACCTCATGGACCACCAGTGGTCCACGGACCACCGGTTGGCGACGGCTGGTTTAGAAGACACAGGCAAAGGGGACAAGAGTGGGCTGGCACTAGGGACTGGAGGGCGCTGGTGGAGAGCAGCAACTGGCCAGGGGCCTTCAGTCCTTGTAAAAGTGCCTGCTCTCTCGGGGCCATGTGTGCCCCACCTTGTGAGCCTCAGCAGTCATTTCTGCCTCCTGCAGATGTCCCTGTGAGAGACAAGGAGGGTGCAGAAGAGAGATAGGCCTCAATGAAAAGCTGACTTACATCTCCCTTCTTCTGAATCTGAGCTTGGACCTCTGGAACGGGCATGTCGATGTAGATCACCACGTGAGGAGGCAGGTACTCGCAGATGGTCACTTTCTTCACCTCGTTGTAGTGGTCCACACCTGGCACACACAGGAGAGGCGCCATCTGTCATCTAATAGTCCAACATAGGTGTTTCTAAAACACACTCTTCTTCAAATACAAGGACAAAGGCATATGCACCTCTCAGAGCCAGTCAGCTGTCAGTGCAGCTGCAAACCAGCCGTGGGATGGCTCTGCAGGTGCCAGTGGCCCTAGCACAGCAACCCTGCAGTTCCACAGTCCTAGAGTACCAGGCCCAGAGATCATGCTGGGATGCAAACCCTGACTTTAACAGCCTTAGGATTTTTAAATGCATCTTGGACACACTTAACACACTGTGGACAGGTCACGAGAATGCTCGCTTCATATTACACAGTGTTTTACAAAGTATCATATTTTAAAAAGATATTAGCTTGTAAGAACATGTAATAAATAACTTCAAAATGCAAGGGGTATTTAATTTTAAAGCATGCCTTAACATTATGTAAAACGTTTTTGTACTCATTCAATAGAAACTTACCTGGCCACTGGGTAAAGCTAGCACTAAAACTACTTACTTCCTAGGCACCAGGAATGGGTCATATACACTCTAATATGTGTATTTATTTCTTCATCATAACAGATCTTCTCTAAGGAGTAAAAGACACCACCCTTGCCCACACAGGAACACTGTCAAGAAAGCATGGTCTGCACATTGTCACATGGTGGAAACTTCCAGAAGTGACAAACTTTGTGATCACACTAAGATGCATGGAAAGAAAACTACCTTGCTCTAAAGCAAACACTCAGGTGACCACTCCTGGCAGCTCTGGTTTTCAAGACAATTCAGGACAGGCCGCTGGTCCAAGGCAGCTGGGAAACGCGAGAGGCCAGTGAGGAGGTGGAATCAGAGTGAATGGCCAAAGCTCACCATGGATGCTGCTCCCTGACCATAACCACCTAACATCTGTCCATGCAGAGAACACGCAGCCTTGAGTTTGCTTCCTATCCATCCACCCTGGAACCAGGCCCATCCCTCCCACATCAGTGGAGCTCCCTTCAGCTGCTTCCTCTATATTCCTGTTCCTGCTCCCATTTCTTAGGCAATCTCACCTTCTTGTACGCCACCCACATGCAAGTGATCTCTTTCCCCCAACCCAGCACTGCAATGACTCTTGTTGTGGCACTGATGACTGCCACCACTACCCTATGACTGTCTACCACTACGCTACGACTGTCCACCACTACCCTACTGGCCCTGTGTGTATTTCTGACCATTCAGGCGCAATTCTGCACTGGCCTTCCTTCCTGGAACCTGGAAGCCCCCAAGGATTCCAGTCTCAGGCCTCACCTCTCACTCTGTGGGCTCTGCAGTGCTGACCCCTCACACTCATCTCCAGCCCAGACCACTGCTCAGGACTTTAGCTCAGACACGCAGCTGCCTTAAGGACATCATCACAGCTCTCTCACAAGAATCTGACTGGGCATGCCCAGCTGCTGCCCTTGAGGGTCCTCCTCCCTTGGTGACCCCGTCAGTCCAGGCAGGTCCACTTTTACTCTCCCATGGAGCTGACCCCAAGCTTGCCATGTGCACCTGCTCTGTCTCAGATCCACCCACCTCAGCAGGCTGCCCCACTACCCCGTGTGGCCCTCACCCTATGATACACTCGTCCTCCTCCAATTTCCTCTCACCAGACATCCCTCCAGATGCATGAACTCAAATCTCACCACATCCCTCCATGCCTAAAACACTACAGGGGCTCCTCAGTCCTTTCAGGTAAAGTCCTAGCGACCAAGCTGAGGGGCAGCCCCTCCATGTGCACCGTCCTCACTCATCCTGCTGCACTGTGCATTGCTCGCCAGGGTTCACTCTCTAAGGTCACCACACACCATGTCCCAGCTGGTTAGACGTCCTGTATGCTTCCACAGCACCCCGACAATACCAAGGACCCACACGCATTTTCCTGCAACTAGCCACCTGTGCTGCTTTAACACTGCCTCCCCACTGCAGGACAGGGGAGCCTCTGATACATCTTCATCTCCCTGGCACCTGGGACAGAGCCTGCACACAGCCTGCCCTCCAGAAGGCTGCTGATCGACTCTAACTGCCACTCAGTATGTCCAGCAGGGGTTGGTACCGTGGTCAGAGGCCAGGGCTCTGGCTGCTCCCTGTACAGGCAGGCAGTGGACACCCTCAACAGCAGGGCAGACAGGCATACAGGAGCAGACAGCCTGGCCTCACTCATCACTGGCGTGCCCCCCGCTCCCCCATTCACTAACCAACAATGCTTACTCTGCCCTCCAGAGATGAGCCACCCCCACCTCCCCTCCAGCAGGCAGAGCACACAGAAGAAGGTCCATGGGCAGACTGACATGGCCCTTCCCCAGCCCCACCCCTCCCTGCCCCACCCCGCCCAGCACACTCCTGGGTACAATAACCTGGCCCGGCTAGGCAGGCTTCTATCACCTCTTGTGGTCAGATGACCTTTACCCAGGTCTTTATTCCTGTCCACATGCCACTTGTCAGAATGGCCAATGCCCCACACAGAGCTACTGTCCCTAAAAGCCTCAGTGCAGCACCCTGTTGGAGAGAAAGGGTGATGATAATACCAGCTGTCACCAGGTATAGGCATGAGAGATGAAAGACACCTAATTACAAAATACACTAGAAAGTGCAGTTCAGGGAAATTAAATCTATTGACCAAAGAAAAATAGCTTAGGTAGCAGCTAGAGCAGAGAGCCGGGGGGATTTCTTGGGGAAGGCCATGTGGGAGCTGGGGGTTCAGCTGTGTGCTCACAGCCCAGGACACCACTCTGCTTTCACAGCAGATGTAGCCTTAGGGGAGAGAGGGTGGAGAAGCCATTTGTTTCCTGTGGAGTTACTAAATAATGGCAGACGTTCCCAGAATGCACACCAGCTAAAGGTGGTGTATCACAGCCCTGACGACCCAGGAGCTGGCTCGAGAAGGGACTCACACTGCCTCCGGATGAAGCCCTGCTTGTACATCGCATCCAGGAACACAAAGTCGCTGTAGATGGAGCGCTCCAACACGACACCCTGCCCTGTTTCAAGGAGGGAAACAGACACCAAAAATCAGACATGATGACTACAGCACTGGGAATGTGTAATTTCATTTTAGAAAGGGGGGAAAAGTTATTTACAAGTCCAAATATTTTCAAAAGAACATAGATACACTTCTAAGTGGGAACTGATTTTCAAACAATATTTTTTTGGTTTGGGCAAGAGACCATACTGCTTCATTGTGTCAGCTGCAACAAAAGCATCTGATTACTAGAAAGTGTTTCCACTTTAAACCACAGGTTTCCCCGCCCACCATGCCCATCACAATCCTGCACCTGCCCCCTTGGTGAGACCAGGCTCCTCCTCAGGTCCCCTCCGGCCAACACCCCACTCACAGCTAACTGCCAGCTTTCTCCCAAAGGCATTCCTATCTAACTACTTAGCACCACTCCTGCAGCAACCCTCCCAGTGCAAGCCTCCTCACCTCTGACCGGCCTGTCTCCAGCTCAGTTCCCGCCCACCTGCCCCCCAGCCTCAGGCTGCTCTCACTCACCCACATAGGCATTTCCAAACTGCAGCCAGATCCTGTCACCCCTCCACTCAAACTCTCAATAGCTTCCTCTCCTTCCGGGGAAAAACCAACAACTGACCATCTCGCCCAGGCTACTTCTCTGGCCTCCTGCCCCTCAACTCCCAGCCTCGTTCACTGCGCTCCCACGTGATGGCCTCCTGAATGTCACTACAGCACACAGCGGCTCTCCATGCTCAGAGTGCTGGTACCCAGAGGCTCCCGGCCCATTTCCCTGCACTCAGTCCTGCAGTGCTGGGCAGAGGCCTCCCCTGACCTTCCCATCTGGAAGAGTAGCCTCTAGCCCTGCTCCAAACCCCTTCCTCCCTGCACCTACACTCACTACCTGACATGGCACCAATTTTTGCCTTTTACTCCGTGTCTCACCTACTAAAATGTAAGCCCCAGGGGTGGGGACTGACTTCCTGTGGTAGCCCCTAGTTCCTAGAACACAGCTGGCACTCACTAAATATTTAATGAATACATTAGTATAGCACAAAAGGAAACAAGTTTTCATTTAAAAGGTTTCTTTTTAAGAAATGGGGAGTCCTGAGGCAGGGCTGAAGTATGCTTCAGGAAGAACCTGGAGTGAATGGAGTGTCATTAATGCCTGCAGGCTCCACGTGGCTCCTGTGAGCTGGTCCTGGCACAGAGCATCAAGGCCACATTGTTTAATCAGGAGCAGAGTTGATCAAAATCAGGGCTTATGTTCATAGAAGAAAAAGTATCACTAATAACATGTTAGAAAAGTAAGATAATAACTAGGCCCTCTGAAACCAACTAAAGAGCATTATCCTGCATCTCGTTGTGCAATCTGTGTATGTGGGACCTGCCAGAACATAGACAGGGTCTCTCAAATGCAGGCTTCTGAACCAGCATCATCAGTTACCTGTGCTCACACTCAGACCCCATGAAGCAGAACCTCTAGGTCAGCGGTTCTCAACCTGTAGGTCGCGACCCCTTTGGCAGTCGAACGACCCTTTCACAGGGGTCGCCTAAGACCATCCTGCATATCAGATATTTACATTACGATTCAGAACAGTAGTAACATTACAGTTATGAAGTAGCAACGAAAATAATTTTATGGTTGGGCCACAACATGAAGAACTGTATTTAAAGGGCCAGAAGGTTGAGAACCACTGCTCTAGGTGGCAGCTGGGCTCTTCGTAAATAAGCTCACCAGATAACTGATAGTCGATTGGTGTGGCAACCATGTACTAGTACATGGCTGGTACAAACCACCCATCTCGCACATAGCATCTGTTTCTGTGAGAGAATGCAGGACTACTTGGGCTTGTGACTGTGGCCGCGTACCAGTGCTGCATCCGTCTTCTGAGTCTCAGGGTGTTCTGAGGACCAAGTCTCACCCATGTGCAAGTTACCAGGAGGATGATGCAGCCCGGCCTGAATTCCAACCTTATTCTGCATTCCCAACAACTTGGTCTTGCCCCATTTGTACCGAGTCCCTCCATCTCCTGTGTCCTTATCCCTGGTACTTGCCCCCAATACGCTGGGCCTTGCCTGCCCCAGTACCTAGCCCTTGTCCACTTCATGCCTGCTTCATGTAACTTCCAGGGGCACCCCCCTCCCCCGCCCCTGCTGTGTATGCCATCTCCTCCACCACTGCCATCATCCAGATGGTTAACTTCCACCCTCTGGAGTGATGGTGAATTCCAGCCCATCTCTGAGCTTCAGTGACAATCCTATTTTGTTGCAACCCTACCTCTGTCTGGCACATGGCCCCATTCCCACGACTATGACTCCACTTCCTCCCAGTCATTTGGAGGTCCTTTTTCCCCCTCCTTTGTTTTGACAAATGTGCCAGACAAATTCCATATACTCCATAAATCTCACTCCAATACACAAAAGTTAAATAATATGAAGTGAATTTATTCTAAAACGACGATCACATGGGTCTTGGGAAATTTATGATCTTATGGAAAGAGAGAAGTTGCTTCATCAGATGCCCTTAAGGAAAAACTCACTAGTGGCAATCTAAAGTGGCTGAGTTCCAGAACAGGGTTCAAGTGCAGAACACGCGCACCAGCTACCTGGCCATGGATACTGCACCTGTGCTCAGCAAGTGTTCCAAGGCGTCTGCGTACTGCAGGAGGCGACTGGCATACAGCCAGGACTGCAGACGGTAACTGTTGCCGTCGTTACTTTTGGGATCATCGTAAAACTTCTCCAAACTGCAGTTGCCACTATACTGTACGTCCAGGGGTTTTCCATCCCCTGTGGTGCTGTCTACATAGTGTATTCCTGCTTCAGGAAAGTGCTTCAAGCCTGAGGAGAGACGGACCACATGAAAAGAGAGGTGGATGCTTCACGCCCTATCAGCAAGCAGCATGCACTAACAGGAACCCCTATCTGAACACCAGCACTGAGGCTCACTGGTGAGGACCTGGGGACAGTAACCTGCACACCAAAGACACAGGTGTGCTCAAGGGAGCACTAAAGACACTGAAGACATGTCTGAAACAGGCATGAGAGAAGCATGTCGGCTCAGAGGTTTCACTGCAACAAGCCTCCCTGCACCCCCACCCCATATGAACTCAACCCACAACTATGGGAGTCCCGTGTGCAAGCAAGCAGGTGCTCATTAAGGATCACAGGAAGGTATGGGAGTAGGAAAGGGGGCTGGCACCTGGCTTTGCTCTAAAGAGCTGTGTGCAGTCAGCTTCATACTGAGTTTACCCATCTGTGATGACTGCCTTTATATGCTCCGTTTCAGAGGCTGTTATAAAGCTCAAGTAAGACAGCTCGTGTCAAAGTGCACCATTTCCACCAAACTGAGAATGGCAAGGATTTTTTAATTTTCCAAATATGAAAGTTAAAAACAGCTTTTATAAATATTTTTAAATGCAAAATACCTACCTTAGCCCAATGCTACCTAGCCAATATTAAAGTAAAATCAACCTCAGAGAAGCAATCATACATCGGAGAAAATACTGTCATTCTGCATGACACAGATTCATACCTAGTTTCTCTGCTATTGTTTTTGCAAGCTTGCTTTTTCCAGAACATATATTGCCATCGACGGTTATCACTTTGCTGAATTTTGTCAGTTTTTTTGATGTTTTGTCACCAAATATGAACGCCAAAGGACCAAACTGTTTCTGGCCCTGTACACTCGTATGGATTCCTCCCTGAAAAACACAACAACACATGTGGGCATGCTGGCTGCTGCAGGCACGAGCAGCTATTAGGTAGAAGGCCAAGAAGGCTGTTGGTATAAAACTGCCAATATCTACAACTTTACTACCTATTTGTTTAATTACAGGTCTCCCCGTCCCACACCCAAGGTAAATTCTTAAGGACAGGGGATTATGTTTAATAAAAATTGGATAGATGAAAGTAAGGCAGAGTGTAGGGAGAGTGGGGGGCGGGGGAGGGAGGGAGAAAGGTAGGAAGGACATAAAGAACATTTCTCCAGTCTAGTCTGTCCTGATTGCCTCACTGTCTTCAAACAGCTCCACTAGGTGTCCTGATAATTCCTGTAAGCTAACAGACCTAAAACTGAGATGTGGCATCCACACCCTGCACCCAACCCTGATCCCTCAGAAGCTCTCTTTTCCACTACCAACCAAGGGAAACAGCGCAGACATGGAGTCATCTTTCACATGCTCCTCCTTCCTCCAACTCCACACTCACTCACAAAATCCTACTGATCCTGCGTCACCTTCCTATCCCACGGATCCACAGATGTCCTCACCTCTCTCACCCACAATGCAAACACCTGCCTCATCTCCTGACTTCAATACCACCAATCTATTTTTTGCACTAAAACCATAACAATCCCTCCAACGCGCGCGGGCACACACGCACACAGAGAAATACAATCGAGGGGCAAAGTGACTAGCAAGCCACAGCCACCCAGCGATGTATTCCCAAGTTTCCAGCCACAGTTGTGCTTCTCTGGACCCTCCGCGTGCAATGCCAGCCGTCCCTGTTGGCGACCACGGGGGTCCCCTTGTCCTCTCAAATCCAGCCCAAAGGCCTTCTGCTCTGCGTCAGGCCCCGCCCGGGCTGGCTGTCAGAGCCGCTACGCGACCCAGTGCAGCGGGGAGCGCGCGCCGGGCTCCTTTGCGCGCACCGCACACCTGCCCGGGGTACGGGGCCTGCAGACCGGCCTCCCACACCAGGGCAGAGGGCGGCCGGTTCGCCTCGGGCCCCTGGGATAAAGAGGCCGGGGAAGTTCGCGGCCCCTGAGGTCTGTCCGCGAATCGGCACCGGGGGCAGAGGCGTCCCCCCGAGACAGAGACACTGAGAGCCGCCGCCCAGAGGCCCGGGGACAGCGGAAGGGGTGGCACCGGGAGGGCAGGCCGGACCTCCCGT